CTTTTTTTTTTTTTTTTTTTTTTTTTTTTTTTTTTTAGTTTTTATGACTTTTATTAAATCCTTACAAAACAATACAAAATTCCGGCGTTGACAGTTGGTGTAAAGGAAATCTTCTGAGCTGTATCAGTTCACCTGGTGCAGTGGAGTTCAAGTGCTTGCATGTTTTTCCCCCACTTTAAAAAAAATTTGAGGTTTTTTTTGTCTTTTTTACACATCTTAACATCGAAGCACTGCTGTGCCCCCTTCCCCCAGAGCCAGAGTCGTTCACAGTAACGGTTCTGGCCAGTCCTTTCGGGCCGCACTGTCGTTGTGACAGGGGGAGGAAGTGGCTGTCCCCACTCTGAGAGAAAAAAAAAAAGCTGCTCACAGCTCAGCTTTCCTGAGTAAAATGGTCATGGCGCCTGCAGCCAGCGAGAGTCCAGTTGTTTCTTCTTTACAACAAGGCAGAATCACATTTTCTGGGAATGTTATACATCTGCAATAAATAATAAATAGTCTCGTAGCAGTTGGCTGCCTCTAATGCAAAATAAGTAAATACATTTGGCGACATCCATTCGAAGAGTGTGATTCTTGTAATTGTCTCAGAAGGAAGGAAGCACCTCACAGACGATAGAGATTTTGCCATCTGTTAGTAACAAAGGAACATAACTCATAACACGAGGCTCTGACTGAGTTTAATGGATGTATTAGCATGCCAGGAATTGGAATTCTCTGCTACGGCCATCCCCAGGGAAGCTGACCTGACTCGCAGCACGTCACGGGAGAAGGTTCCTTTGCTTGTAGAGCAAATGGCCTGGCCTTCATATTGCTGGGGTGGCAGAAGAGGGAAGAGGGCTGAGTTTTAATGGTGACACATCAAGAGAGAGGCATGCTCCAGGATTGTGACAACCTGCCCAGACCTCACTTGCGATCAGTGGAACGGCAGACTCACTGTCGAGAAGGTACTGTCTTTACGAGTCAGAAGAGTTACAAGTTCAGACGCTTAGGGAGAGATGAGGGCTGGCAAGTCCGGGCTTTCTCTTCCAGTGACATTTGCTTTATGCAGATGACATTTTAGCTTCCTGGGCCTGACATGACAGGAGGGGGTTGTGGTTCTCGTTCAGGATGAGTGGGTGGGTTCCTGTTAGGAGGTGCTGAATGCTCAGTGGAAGTGGCAGAGCTGAGAAACCCGAGGAAGGGCAGTCAAGGAGTCTTGCCTCTTGTGCAGGGCTTCCTGTGCCCTCCTCTGGAGAAGGGGGACGGGTCGTCATCTTCGGTCATTCTGGTTTCAGCTGATGGTGTGGAGGGCACGGCGTGGCACAGGCACCGTGGCGGTCCCGTGAAAGGTGGCCAGTGCGCTTCTGTTAGTAGCTCATGTGGAGGTGGTCCGGCGGGCGTTCAGTCCTCCTCGTAGCAGAGGCCATAGGCTGGGCGTGCCAGCGGGACCTCATTAGAGAACTTTACCCAGCGGTGGTTTGCATCTGGGAGCGCTTTTGGTTATCTTCCAGCTTAAAGGGGTTGGGAAATGAGGCAGGTCTACTTAAGGAGCGCTTCCCCCTCACCTCCGTCTTCTCCGTATTTGGAAGGGATCCTTGACCTTGGAAATGCAGTGAGTCGGATAGCTGCCTCATCGATTGGGGCTTGTATCCTAAAGCCTCTGTCTTAAACATCCAAGTCACGTTGCAAAATCGGTAGGGCTTCGAAATGTATCTTCGTTGCTACACTCTGCATTGTTCCTGACCTTCTCTTCGCATGTCCTGTGCCCTTTGGACCCTGATGTCTTGTGCCCTTTCTCCCTGGCCTTTGGGGAAAAGCTGACAAACTCGTGCACACTAAGGTGCTGAGGGCTGATCAGGTGTAAAGTGTTCTCCCTTCTTGTGGTGTCTGCATTTCTTACAGGGGTGAAGACATCTTAAACCAGAGGAGTGACTCTCTAGTTGTGGAATTTCAGTCGTCAGCCAGCAGATGCAGGAGGTATTCTGTTGGGTATGGGGGCTTCTCAGAAGCCTGGAAATCATCCTAAATGACCACCTGCTCCATGTTACATCAGGCCACTCCGTGCATCACACCAGTCTTGTGTGTTTGGTTGGCTTGACCTGGCTGAGGACAGCAAGCATGTCTGTGGGAGTCTCTGTGCATGGAGTTGCACACAGTAGGTGCTTCACAAACCGCTGTACCTATCGGAGAGGAGGAGAAGTATGATGCATGTAATGCAAGCTTGTGTCTCTGATTTGCAAATGCTGGTCTTGGTCCAGAAATTAAGCCAGTTCATAGAAAACCTGCAGTGCCTCTCTCGGCTGCAGCCCACTTCGTGCCCATCCGCAGCATGAGTTGTGTATCCTCAGAACAGTCTCCATTTGAAATCCATGGAATGTTCACGAAAGCTGGGGTTTCATACTGCAGAAGCATATTGCCCTGCAAGCAGGGCAGGACAGTCGTGCCCTTTCCTTTGACTCTGAAGCCTGGTTCTGTGATTGAGTGTCATTCCCATCTCGTGCCTCCCTTATGCCAGTCACTGTCACCACGGCCACCCCGGAGAGTTTCCAGTGACTGTGGGGTTGGAGCGGTGAGCCTCGCCGTTGGGAGGCTGGGGCTGCAGCCTCCCTTTACATGAAGGTCACTGCTTGGACTTCCAAATCGGGTAACTTTGGTACTAAGGCTGAATTAAAATGCTAATAGGCTACATGTTCTGGGTGTTTTAACCTTCCCTGATCTGAAATTTAAATGAAATGCCTTAGGTGCTCTCAGAGTCTTGACAGAAGCATATTTAGCATCACCCCTTAGACAGTGAATTTAAAGTATACCCTGGCCACATGGGCAGAGCTAGGAAGTTAAGCAATATTTATTTTATGATCATTTTATTTGCGTCCTCTGCAGCAACATGACACAAGCATGCTCTTTTACTCGAGACGGCAATTTAGCTGAAACATAACAAAACAAAACCCCAAACCTCACTATTTTTTAAGTTTCTCTGAACCTGCAGATTCTCTTCTTATCGACAACATTTAATAGCAGTGCATTGGATTTAGGGCACCTGAAGCTATGCCAAAGCCCTTTTGTAGATTTTCTTCGCATTTAAACCTTGTGACAACACCATGAAGACATTGGGCTGCAGAGAGATTGCATGGCGTTTTCGTCATCATATCACTGGTTATGGCAGGACCACAGTCAGGACGTGGCTGTCCTGGCTCCCAGCTCCAGCCTCTCTCCACTAAATCGAGCTTGAGCTCTAAGCAAAGCGATGACAAGGTCGCTTAAACTAAATGCGTCTGCTTGAAATGCACACAGTTGCTCACTGGGAGGACATGGCAGTTCCTTACAAGGGGTAGTGCCAGTTCCGTTGTCTACACTGGGGCCAGATTTCTCTGTCTACTGAGCTGAAAAGACAAGTCTATTTCCTTCTGTCACTGAAGTCACTTCCTTATGATTAGTTGAATTAGCCTTTTAGTTTTCTCCTTACTAGGAGGAAGGAACACTGTTTTTTTCCTTAAGTCCTTCTAGTTATTTGGTTTCTGGTCACTTTGTAATTATATCTCGGGAGAATGGCTATTAATTTTCTTGCACAAAAAGGCTGAGTTCCTTGATGACATGACCATGTTTCAGTTTCCGTCCTCTCTCTCGTTGCCTACACCCCTTCCTCTTAGCACATTTTTCATAGTGAGGAAGAGTGATCGTGTGAAATACATCAGGAGGAAGGATGGATTCAGTAGGAGTCTGACAACTTGACGGATTAGCAGAGATCAGGAGAAGGCTCATAACAGTGAAAACCACTGCAGCATGGAGTTTTAACAGCTCTTTTGGGACCTAATTAATGAAAGAATCACTACAGAAGCACAGCCATGCAAAAAAAAAAAAAAAGAGAGAGAGAGAGAAAGAAAAGAGTAGGAGTGTTTCCGTATAACACTCTGGGGCCATGTCATAAGAGGAAATACGCTCATAATTTCTATTTACACATCTCTGTAATTACCTTCCGCTTGAAGACTATTTTCAGTCTTCTCCTGTCAAAGTTGCTTAGATATTTCCTCTTTCACACAGCAGGCAGAGAGGTCTAGTACTGGTTGCAGCTTGTCCTAAGGATTTTTTTTTTCCTCCCGAAGAATGGAATTCTCGGACACCCGAGTCATACTGCTTGATTAGGCTGGCTTTCATCTGATCCATGTTCCCGTTACCATTGCCATTTGCCCGTGAATCAGACCTCTGCATTCAGGTGAATGTTGTATTGAGCATTACCTTTAACTTGTTCGTGTGTGGTTGCTCTCTCTTCTCTCTCCCTGATGCAGTGTCTATGAACCAGATAGAAACGTGTTACGGAGGAAAGAACGAGAAAGAAGAAATCAGGAAACTCAGCAGGATGATGGCGCGTTTAATTCAAGTTACTCCCTCTTTAGTGAACCCTACAAGGTAGATGGTTTTCACTTGTTCATCTCCACCCCTCATCCCTCCCTCTAACCCCGTCGGCAGTCTTGACTACAGGAGTTGGCCAACCAAACCTCAGACAGCTCAGCCCCTGAGGATGGGGTCTTCCCCCACAAATTTTGGTGCCTCTTTCACATGTCTTTACTGGCTAGTCCCTCAATGAAATATAACTTATGTTTAAGATGGAGATCTTCATGCTATGACTTTTATCAATAGTTGGTTTCATCTCTGCATCAGTTGGCAAAGTCAGTGCCATTTGTTGTGTTTTCTAAGCTATTAGGAGACAAACACTAAAAAGAGGTTGGGTTACGTATTTGTCACCCACAGATCACGCTGGGAACAGGGTACTTGATAGGGCTCATAAGAAAGGAAATGTTGGATTGTTTCTCATTTATATCAAAGGCCAGAAATATAACTTCGCTTTGCAAAATGAAGTAGGTCCCCAGATTTCATTCCTATTTCAGGCTGCTTGGAACTGGGGATGGTTCAGGCCGAGTGCTTCCTGCAGACTGAACCCCACACTCGTTGTAAGCTTCTCTCTGATTTCTTTTGCCTGTCCCTCTGGGTTTCTAACAAGAATAATTCTATATTTAGAAGTTGGAAGCAAAATAATTTGAGCCAAATCTGAATCTTCAAGGAAAGCTTGCAGTGGGATGAAAAAAGAAAAAGGAAAAGAAAATCTAGTCCTGGAAAGACTTAATCCAGACCAGGTTGTGAAGTTACAATCGTAAATTTCCTGATTTCCTTGGCTGTGGCACAGGACCAAGGAGAGATGCTTCATTCATGCCCTCTGAGGCCATTAGCTGTGGTCCAGTCCTAGTGGGATACAGAGTGTTGACAGACGTCTTCAGAGACGCTGACCATTTTGATGGAATCTCTGAGCTCTCATTCTGAATGTGGCACCCCTGGCTCTTCTAGCCGTAAAGGCGCCTCTCCATCATTTCCCGTGTTTCCATTGTCTGTAACAGGAGCATGGACATTATGTTCTTCTTTTTCCAGACTAACAAGGGGGATGAGCTCTCCAGCCGGCTCCAGAACACTTTAGGCAATTACGATGAAATGAAAGACTTTTTAACGGATAGATCAAATCAGAGTCATCTCGTTGGCGTTCCCAAACCTGGGGTTCCTCAGGCTCCCGTGAACAAGATTGACGAGCATTTTGTTGCAGATTCGAGAGCCCAGCCCCAGCCTGCATCCGCCTGCAGCACCACATCCTCCGCCCCGGCAGCGGTCCCTGGGCAGCAGAGTAAGAGGGGCACCGTGGGCTGGCAGAAGGCCGGGCACCCACCGTCCGATGGCCAGCAGAGAGCAAGTAAGCACGGACACAGGACGCTTGATTTGAACAGACCTGCTCACCCAGAGAACCATAATAAAAACCCTAACCCCTGTGTCTTGAGCCCCTCGTCCTTACCTGCCTCCTCTTCTCCTTCCAAATCAGCACAGCAGGGCTCTCTCAGGACCTTGCTCGGAGATGGTGTTGGCAGACAGCAGCCGCGGACCAAACAGGTGTGCAACGTCGAGGTGGGTCTTCAGACCCAGGACAGGCCACCTGCTATGGGAGCCAAGCTCAGCGGCAGTGGCCACTGTGTTCAGAACTTTCCTCCATCCCTGGCTTCAAAGCCTAGCCTCGTCCAGCAGAAACCGACTGCCTACGTGCGGCCGATGGATGGCCAAGATCAGGCTCCCAGTGAGTCTCCGAAGCTGAAGTCGTCCACAGAGACCGGCGTGCACTGTGCGTCATACAGGGGAGCCTCAGCCACCAAGCCAGAGTCCGCCAGAGCCAAGGCCAAGCTTTCCAAGTTCAGCATCCCCAAACAAGGAGAGGTGAGTCTTTTCTCAACACCACTTACATGCTTCCGAGTAGTTCCAGGGGACGAGCTGACTAGTTGTAAATTCCATGCCCGTGTATCTTTATTTCACTGTGTGACTGATGTCATGTGGGATTTGTAGCCATCGATATGGAAGGATGTACACGTCCATAATGATTTCTTAAAATCTCAAATTGATTATAATCAGAATATTTTTAAGTACCAACAAATGCTGTTGTGGTGTGTCTGTGTTAGTTCAGGAAGGAATGCCTCCGTCAGTATAGTTCAAGGGAATTGTGTGTGTGTGTGTGTGTGTGTGTGTGTGTGTGTGTGTGTGTGTGTGTGCACAAGCCAACGTTGTCAGAGGTGTTATACCCTGGAATAAAAGTATGTCAAAGCTTTTAGTATGTAAAGAGGTTAATTTTTGGGTAAAAGAGTTCAGAAATTCAACGTTTTTGTCAGTTTTGAAATGTTCCAGGACAAACATCACAAGGGTAGACCTCATCATGAGTTTTAAAGTAATTGTTAAATGACTCAGTATTGAATATGGTGATTATTCAAATGTTTCAGGTGTCCCATCCATATTAAAATATTTGAGATCCAGGTTGGTTGTTGCTAATCAAGTGAGAATTCTCCTTGTCCTAGAAAAAATGATCTTAGGTTATATGAAGAGAGTGAAATATTTTAGTTCAGAATCTTCTGGTTTACATTTTGAGTTTATTCTAAAGTGTTCTTTCACTGCATTACAAAATACATAGGATGGATGTAAGGACTGTTAGACTTCAAAACAAGGAAATCACAATCACAGAGGTAGCAAAGAGGCTGCGGTCACTTGAACAGTACATCTGGGTGGAAAATGAGGTTTTGTTTGAGAAAAGCACATCTCGTACTCTCTTCCAAATTGATGACAGTTGTCCGGAACATGTGAAGAAAAAATATGACTGTACGTTTTGTTTTGTTTTGTTTTGCTGTGATATGGTATACCAACTAAAATACAACATGAGCTCCAGAACATTATACTTAGGAACTGTTCACTTTTTTTTTTTTTTTTTGATATATTCTTTTCTAAAGATGGAATAACAGTGTGGCCAGAACATTCTTTGTATCTTAATTTGATCTAGTAACCAAACGAAACAAATGATTTGACATTTCTCATTGCCTGTCCGACAAGGCTGAGCTTTACCCATTTCTGAGCTCTCATCTCAGAAAGCGCCTGGCACCCATTGGGAGGTCAATGTATTCCCCTTAGAGAAGACACATTTATTACTCTGAGATGTTTACACAGGTTCTCATGAGGAAATTAAGTGACATGTGTACCAGTAACTTCTTTTGATTATTCATTTACGATGGATCCCAAAAAGTGTTAATTAGGAATTAATGGAAGCAAAACGTAAGTTCTGCAAGCATTTATGTTTTTAAAAGTTTGTGGGAAACACACGTAGTTACCCTCTTTCAGAACTGAATTTGTCAAGTTCTTTGATTTTTTGTTTTCCTCATCAAATAGCCTGTACCAGCCAATAAAGCATGACTCATTTTTGAACAGAGGTGACTAACCACCAGGATTCCCTTTATAATTTTAATCCCCAGTGATTCCTTGTTAAAATGATTTTCATGTACCAAAGAAACTCCAAGTTTATTAGGTAACAGTTCATTTACTTCGGAACCTGATGAGTTGATAAAGCTCTGGTGGAAAGCCTGTTTTTGACAACCAGGGCAGCCTTATGTGGATGACTACAGTTTCATTAGGCTTTTGGGTATGTCCTTGATCACGTGGACACTTCCAGGATGCCCTTTCAGGACCCACGATCGGGAATGAGACCCTGTACAGGTGTTGGGTAATCACAGAAAGAGGGAAATGCCTGAGATACAGGGTCGGGCCGAGAGAAATTAGAGCTTTTATACAGGAAGTGTTTCATTTCCCTCCATGACATTGAACTCTCCTAACATTCTATCAATACGAGGTATATTTCAAAGAGGCCAATCATACATTGATAGAAAAAATGTAAGAAGTGTTGTTTGTGGAACAAAGTTATAGTCGGTGGGGTGGTGGTGGTGGTGTTTTGGGGTTTTTTTTGGTGGGGGAGGGTATACAGTCCTTATTTTAGCCAAAAGCTTTGCCTATTATGGACACTATGGTAATTTGAATCTTGTAAATCTTGTGTGTTCAAACAGTCCACAGTTATAATAACAATATGACTCTTTCTCAGTGGGCAACAGGGTGCTACCTGGAAGTTTGAAAGTTAGGCTTCCTAGCCTTCAGACTCAAAGGGTTTGTTGGTTGGTTGGTTGGTTTCTTTACAGTACCCAAGGGATTAAGAAATAACCTTTCGCCAGATGTATCATTCAGTATTTATCGGACGTTTCTATAAAGCCACAATCATAATAGAAATGGAAGAATTTTATCAAATAATTGGATTTGAGGGAATATTTGCTTTTATTTTTTGGAGGGTTTAGAACAGTGTGGCAAACCGTTTAAAAAAATGTCAATGCCTATATATTTTTAAAACAGGTACCACCTCTATGAAAATGGCCTTTCATTAGTACTGACATTGATTTCCACTTAGAGAGGGAATGTATGTTTTAGGAAAATTGACAGAGGAGATGACCTGAAGGGAACTCATATTACTTGACTACACTTTTTCAAGATGTTAGCCGGAAAGCAAGACTTAAGACAGTGTGAAGAATTTGGGGGCTAAAAGGAAGCATTGGGTAAAAGTGACATGAAGACAGGGGAAGTGAAAATATGGCTGTGTGACACTGGATAGGGATGTTCCTCGTAAGAAAATCAAATCAATGGCTATGTGTAATGTGGTGTGAGGAATTAAAAAAAAAAAAAATTTAAGATGTGATCTCTGCCTCCAAGAAATTTACGTGAATTGAATAAATTAGGCTCCAGCACTTCACTTTTAATTTGCAGTTTCTCTCACCGTCCAGACAAAATTTAAAATTGGGCTTCTAGGCCTAAGAAAATTCCCTCACCTTTCATAGTCCTTATAGTAGAGAAAGATTCTATGCTATTTTTTTAAATTGAGAATTTGATTTTGCACTTGGTAAATCCATCATTCTTTCGGACACGTGCAGTCTGTCAGCTGCTGTGGTGAATCATTTGTTATCATTCTTTCATCTTCAATAATAGGTAATTAGTGTAGAGAAATTCAGTGCAATTTGATGTGGAAGTGAAGGCCCTCAAGGGAATTCCTTAACTGATCCACCTGCCTCTTGGCTGGCTTTCCCCAGCTCAGTTTTGTGTTAATGAAAAACATAATTTTGTTCTTGTAGCTGAGTCTTTCATTCCCGAAGTCACCCCTCATTAAGTAAGCCTTCCCTGGCCCGCCACTTGGAAGGGTGACTCCTGTTAGGTAGGAGACAGGGGCCTTAAGGAGTGGCTGAAGCAGGCATTCTAGAACGTTCCAGGGCAGGGCACACTGAATCTTATTTCCAGTTGAAGTGAGTTATTTTTTGTCTCACACACACACGATTAACATTTTGTCCTTAACGTGTAGCATATAATTCACTGTTAACCTAGAGGGGCAGGTATAGGTTGTGGGACCCAACATTTATACTGTCTTGGGGGTCCTGTTTAGGAAATATTTTACACTTGAAATATATATATTTTTTAATATGTGTAAATTTATTTATTTTTGGCTGCGTTGGGTCTTTGTTGCCGCGCTCAGGCTTTCTCTAGTTGTGGTGAGCACGGGCTACTCTTCGTTGCATTGCACGGGCTTCTCATTGCAGTGGCTTCTCTTGTTGCGGAGCACGGGCTCTAGGAGCATGGGCTTCAGTAGCTGTGGCACGTGGGCTCAGTAGTTGCGGCTCACAGGCTCTAGAGCACAGTCTCAGTAGTTGTGGCTCACGGGCTCTAGAGCACAGGCTCAGTATTGTGGCGCACGGGCTTAGTTGCTCTGCGGCATGTGGGATCTTCCTGGACTAGGGCTCGAACCCATGCCCCCTGCATTGGCAGGCGGATTCTTAACCACTGCGCCGCCAGGGAAGTCCCCAAACTTGAAATATTTACAAAAACATATATAAACACATTTTTAGGGCCCCTCTTGGGACCTTGGAGGAACCTTGGCTCCAGAGCCCCTGAAGCTTATGCATCATTAGTTTCACAGTGCCTGTCTTTGGCTCATGGACTAGTAAGACATTGTTATTCGAAATAGGATAAGAAATTATCTAAAATGATAATTTTCGATTGGAAAAGAGTGCTTTATATGAGTCTCGAATTTGTTAGAAATAAAAAATACGTATTTATATGCTAGGTGCTGCAGGCAAGGCAGAAATGGGGTCATGCTATAAAAAAAAGCCTAATAATGCAGTGCCGTGGAGAGAAAATATGGGTGTCAGCCTATGAAATCAGTTCGTTTGGCACATTACAGCTTCAGCAGTGGCATTCTAAAAGATACACGTTTTAGTTCCTGTTTGCTATTAATTTAATAAATGGCAGTGACTTCAAAGTGCTCTTGCAGAGCACTTGAAGAGCTGGGAAAAGTAGCATTTGCAAAGCCAGGGAAGGAAGGAAACCAGTGACTGCCGCTCCTCCCTGTAGGTTAGTCAGTGAAGGGGAAAGAGGCACCTACATTTGAATATCAATTAGGAGACTGTATGTTAGGAGTTTTCGTAGGGGTTGATAATTCATCCACAAGAACACAGTGACCGTTTTTTGGTTGATCAGATTTCTGTTTGTTAAAAGAAGTCATTATATTGTTGAAGATGTATTGATTAGTCATAGCATTTTCATGATGGGCGTTTTAAAATCACCATTTATACCACGAATAAAGAGCAGAAAGATGAAGCATTGTGATTTCATAAAATAGCTTTTCCTAGAAAAGCAATTAACTGTTTTGTTTTTTTTTTTTAAGTTCATAGAAGATAAATGAGGTAGGTTTCCTATGTCCCGTCACTCTCGGTTACCTTTGTATGAAAATGGATTTCTTCCAAATGAAAGTTGGCAGCAGCCTGTCAGAGAAAAAAGGCATCTGCAAAGAAATGTGTACATTACATATTCATGCCAGT